TGAATGCGTCGGCGACATCATGAATTTGTACGAGTTTGACATAAAAGAAGAGGAAGAACCTTATCTGTCGCTGGAAAAATAGAAATAGATCTAATCTGGCCACAACCACAGTCGTCGCGTAGCCCGGTCGGCGCCAAAATAATTATCTACATAAGATAGGGCTGCCAGATATCTCTGTTGCCAAGCCGGGAAACTTTAGGGAGGGCCTCTCAACTATTGCTTGTGCAAAGTTCAACTATCTCGAAATGTGACTATTTCACAAATTAAACCGGTGCACTGAGAGAAAGAAGTTTAGAATTAAAAAAGCGTACTAAATTAAAACAAGTAAGAAAGTCTAAGTTCGGGCGGAGCCGAACATTAAATACCCGGCACAATTATTAAATATATGTTTCCCACCTTTCCGAAAGCTACCGCTACACGATAAGCCGGGGTGTATAAATTTTAAGTAAATTAGCGTCCTTAAATTTCGAAATATTGCAGTTTCAAGCATTTCTGAAATATACCGTTATATGAAAAGCGGTCGTAATTTTAGTCCGATTTCAATAATTTCCAACGCTTTGCTTTTATGTGGCAAGCACAATAACCATACCGAGTTTGGTTCAAATTGCCAGAACGGTTAGCGAGATACATATATGTAATCAACACCACGCGTGCGTGTTATGAAAGTACTATTTTTAAATACGAACATTTTTAAACGATAATCAAATAGAAAATATTCATGTTTACCATGCGTTATTTCCCTCAGTGAATTCATAACATTTTTCTGAATATTACAACGCGTCTTTTCGCTTAGTGTAGTGAGTTTTGAACTTTTATTCAATTTTGTGCAATCAAATGAAAAACCGGGACACTAAAACGAAACCCGGGACATTTTAAGGTTGGGCCGGGACACCGGGACAGATAGTCTAAAACCGGGACATGTCCGGGAAAACCGGGACATGTCCGGGAAAACCGGGACGTCTGGCAGCCCTACATAAGAGTACGTGTTAAAATAATTTGACAGCTATAGTCCATAGCTCGTCGTTTTCATTGTGTTCGGGCTATTAATGTTGTGGCACAAAAGGGGTCCCTACAGTTTTATGTCGACTTTGAACGGCGATTTTGTTTTAATGGGAAGCTGTTTTTCATTTTCAAGTTTTGAGCACTTCTAATCGTTAAACCACAGCGGCCTATATACGAGACCTATATTCATATAAATTTTATGGATTTTGGTATCGATATTTGGAATATCGAGTCTTTTTATTCCGATATTAATGGGTACCCGATATTTTTAAAGCGATACTTTAAATGAGTACCATATCGATACTTTCTGTTCGATATCGTGTCCCTAGCGCTATGATTCCATATGGAATACTAATCCCTTTCGATGTAATGCATTTTACCTATGGTCTTATTTCCACCTGTGAGATCTCTGCCCAGCGTGCGTAATATTCTTCTATGATACTGCAACTTCAGCATTGGTCCGGTGTACCAGGACCAGGAGGGCCAAAAATTCTCGCTGTCCCACAGGATGAAAAGTTTTCGCGTTCAAATCAAGCCATTGATTTACCTATCGTGTTCCTTCTTGGACAGATGTGGTTGAACCTTTCCTCGTCAATTCGCCACATTTACAATTCGTCTTAATATTTATGGATTGGTTCCTTTGAGTCTTACTGCTGTAATAACGGCCGCCTCGAGCAACTTCGTCAATCGGAAGTAGATGCAAGATCACGCTTACACAGTGTTACGGTCTTTACATGCATACTTAAAAGCATCCTTAATTTAGCCATCTGAAAAGTAAATTCGTCTAAGATAAACATAGGGCCAAAGTAGAACAAACCCCGTTCTATATATTTCGGGTACAGCGTCATCCATTGGGTCCCTTTTCTGCAAAACCTTTGCTTGTCATGAAATGAATACGCACTATGAATTCCAATCAGATTTTATAAGAAACACGGATTTTCTAAATACCTAAACCCTAGCGGGTCCATTTTTAGCAAAGGAATTTTTCATCATAGAGGTCACGCTGCGAATTTGAACGAAATCTGTTAATAAATACGACTTTTATAAGTAACTCTACTCCAGCGCCACCAGCGTGTTTTCTAGTAGCCTATAATAGCACCTCCGACAATTTGACTGGGCTCTATTGAGTGGTTTCTGAGTTTAGTCCGAAAAACGGAAATGGCTATCATTTTATGTATGTAATCTTCCTTATCCTGAGTTTCGCCCGAAAAAAAATTCACTCGAAAAGTAAGTACATGGAAACCAAAAGCGAAAAGTGAACCGATTCAGGGAAGATGAAACTCATGATAAGGCTGAATATGTTTCGAATAAAAAAAATCATCATGATAGTAATAAACGTTTCGAATGTGTATTAACAAAATAGGTTCATCCAGCACCACCTAGCGGGTCCGTTTTTCGCAAGTGCTTTTTTCATCATGCTTACGAACTCGGTTCATAAATACAACTTTTATAAATAACTCGCCTCCCGCGCCACCTAGCGGCTCCGCTTTTGGTAAACGTATTTTCCATTATGCTGGAACTATACTTTTTGAATTTGAAAGAAATCTGTTCATAAATACGACTTTTATAAATAACTCGACTCCCGCGCCACCTAGCGGGTCTATTTTTGGTAAACGTGTTTGCTATCGTGCTGGTAGCTTACATTTTGAGTTTAAAAAAAATCGGTTCATAAAAACAATTTTTATAAATAACTCGACCTCAGTGCCACCTACCGAGTTTTCTGGTAGCCTATAATAGGACCATATATGCAAAGTATAACCACCGAAAATTTGACTGAAATCTATGCAGTAGTTTTTGAGTTAACTCCGAACAACGAAACGGCTATTATTTTATAAATGTATATAGATATTTACTTAAGCGAATCAATTTTTTACATCAAATATTTGTATAATATATTTTCTGGGAAGTAGAAAAAGTGGAAAGTATTTTATGTACAGATATGTAAACAAAACTACTAGGTATTTTATTTTTTCTATCGGTC